GTCCCTGGACACCCTTATTTCATAGTCACATGACCAATTTAGTGGGAAAGATTTGCTCATCATAAAAATCTGTTCCAAATTGTGTCAAAATTACAGACTTCAGGCTATACATCAAATTTTAAATTATGTTGATAGATAAATAAATTACAGAACTTTTTTTTAAATGTTCGTTATATATGAAGCGGAGAGGAGCAGCGAGTGGACTCTGCCTGTTGGCATTAATCATATTAATTGTCAAGTGCCAAAAATTAACCGATTAATGTTTTTCTGACGATTAATTGCACACGATACGATTATGCCCAACCCTATTGTGGGGTGTRTTTGAGAGCAACTCATTTTGGTGCTGTCAATTTAAATAGAAATGAGGCACTCCCCCCCCAGGTCACAGAGCATTTCACTCCACCCCGTTMGGCCATTTTTGTAGTTCGATAGCAGGGCTACAGTTATCTAGTGGTGTAGAAACTTTTCAGATCGTAACCCTGTAGAGCTGCGGATTAGCAAAACTGGTTAGCCAAAAGTTCATAACCTTGTTTAGCAGGCCCATAGCAAATACAGAGACATAATAGTTCAAAATACTTAATAGGGAATAGAGAAAACTGAACAGATTGAAAAWTATGACCCAAACAGAATATAAAGATATCTACGCAACACCGGGAGAGACTAAATGAAACTTTTCTGCACTCCTATAGACCCCAAGTACACATAAAATATTTTTAAAGGTTAAACAAGTGCATTTTGCATATTTTACCTCCAAACATTGCTGACAGCTGGGTAGATCTGATTTTTAAATCTGATTATTAGAAAAGCTTTCGCATTGTTACACAGTTTTTCTTTTGGCATCTCTCTCTCTGAGAGTAAGAATAAGATTTATTTTTAGCTTCTTAGGCAGAATTTGGACACAGGTGCCACAACATTTCCATTACAAACAAGCCCTTTTTTGGTACAACACTGGTAGACATTCTGACTSCAAGCAGGTTTCTCTGGGGCACGGTGGGATTGACCTACCGCAGGGGTAGACATAACCATTGTTTAGGTTGTCCGAGACAACTATTTTTGTTTCGGACAACCAGATCCTGTCTCCTGGTTGTCCTGTGGACAACCAAGCAAAAAAAAGACATTGATTAAAGTTCTCTGCTGTGGGTGTGTATCATTTGTAAAAATGAAAGGGACAAAAAACTTGGTAAAACTGAACAGAACACTAAACAGTAACTTTTAATAAGGTCATTTACACAGGATACTCCTACTGAAATGAAAATGTTTGACCCATGAGCAGAAAGAAGTTTATGAATGTCTAACTCTATTTCAAAGAAGAGAATGAGGAAATTTTATTCATGCAGCTCCTGTCAACCTGGCTGACTGAGAACAGTTATATATAATAAACTTCGTCTACCGAACAACATACTTGTTAAATTACATTTTTCTTGAGATTCTTTTGGACAACCAAAAATGTTTTGCAGACAACCAGATTTTGTCAACAGATTGTCTGCTGGAAAACCTGAAAAATTTCCTTATGTCTACCCCTGCTATCGGAACACCAAGACACTTTGGATTTATTTGCAATTTTCAGCTTCTACACATCAACTGCTTCATAAAAAATAAGGAACTAGAGGAACAAACTTATGATGGGTCACACAGCCTACGACGCTCATTATTGTGCTGACGTTCTGACTCACAAAAAGTAGAAGTCATTACAATAATAGCAGATGATTCCGTGAGTAATCAAGCGCTCTTGTGTTAGACAATTTATCTTTGATTTTCATCCCAGCGGCACACATGAAACACTCTACAAAACCACAAAATTGCCAGCTTTTAGTACATTTGAGTACTTGTAGTTCCAACCTYTCTGGTGCCGCCTTCTACAGTGGGTCATGGGACCGCTTTATGACATCATGGCAAACTCCCACATAAGAGCATACACTGTTGAGTTTATGCCACATTTATTYAAAAATAATTCCAAGTCCTTCAATAAAACCTTTCTTTTTTTATGTTGCAGTTTTTCGGAAAACGTCTTTCGCCATCAGAAAACTGCTTTCACATTCTTATATAATCCTTATTTCTTCCTCTCAATGCACAACATCAGATAAAGGAAGCAACTAAAATTAAAACTGAGTTTAAAGAGGCGTTAAGTGCAGCTCAGCATTTTATCTGATGACAAGCTGTTAAAAGATTCAGTCCAACCCACGATGGGACTGAAAATAGGCTGCTATTTCTGTGAAAAGTTTCAGCTTTAATTTTTCTTCTAACCAAGGCCAACAATTGCACCAGAGCAGACACAAAAAAGGCAAAACACACGTTTTTCCCAATCTGGACAAAATGAAACAAACTGAAAAGACAATGGATACACAAAGATCTGAATTAAGGCATTTAGAACTAGATGCACTTAACTGATAAAGAGTCTCAGAAAAAAAAAAAAAACGCCACAACTATTGAGCAGCTGTGCAGCCTCTGATCAATAATTCAACATGTGGAGGCTGGAGAGACAAAAAGTAAACCAACATGTGTAAGGGAAATGAAAATGACATCATATCAAAGACGTAAAAACAAACAGACTGATAGACGATTGGCGAGAGGGGAATGATTAAAAAAGCATAAAAGAGAAGAAAATCCAAGAGACAAAAAAAGAAAAGCAAGAAGCAGAAACAGCCAGCAGAGACACAAAGACAGGCAGAACCAGACGTGGAAATTGAAGAAGACATCAAAAGGAAAAAATCTGTCGATGACAGCTGACACAGTGTTGAGTAACAGATCAACAATCTGACAAAGGTAATTACCAGTAAACAACAAAACAATGGGAGACCAAAAATAGCCCTTATGTTGTTTAGTTTGTGATGCGCTGTACAGATGGGTAATTGAAATATAAATTCTGAATATTTGATAAGTCATTAAAGTAAACAGATTCTAAAAGCATCTGACAAATTTAATCAGATATTTTCCTCCACCTATACCTTGTAGTGATGCTCCTTTAACAAAATGATCACAAGGTGGCGATAATGCACCAAATTATTTCCTAAACGAGACTAATTTACTTAGTAATTCTAATGTACGTGTAAATAGGATTAGATTGCTTTAAGTATTCTTCATACTCGCTCGAAGGTAAAACACTTGCAAAATATCATCCATTGCTCGACAAACTWATATTATAGACAAATAATCGCTAACGTATTTTAAAGTTTTRTTAGTGAAGCTGTGGAGGAAGTGGGAAGGAGATAGGCAGGGCTGTCAATGTGAGAAGTTGACAGACAAATGAAAAGATAATGTAATATTAATTTACAATGCAACATATTATATTGATGTAAACAATATCTTATCCTGTATCGCGTAGAAAAAAATCTTAGTTTTTAATTTATTTCTTTGTTTTGTTTTTTGTTTTGTTTTTTGTTTTGATATATTGCCCAGTCCTACTTTCAACCACATTAGAACTACACCCTTGAATGTGCACATTCCTCCACATTAAATCATAGAACTGGTGAAAAATAGAGAAAATATGTTCACTAGCAAAGTTAGAAAAGTTATATATGTGTAATGACACAAAGACAATGATTAGTACAAAGACTAACAGTAACACTTGTAAAATATCATCCATCCATCCATCCTCTGTTCCTGCTTCTTACTTTCAGGCCTGCCAGCCTAATAAAACACCAGGGGAAACGCTGGGGTTTATCACAACTAATATTGTCACAATATTAATATTGCAATTGCATGTTTTTCTATTATTGTACAATTTTATTTACAACTGTTCTATATCACTTTAAAATGGCTTAGTTTATATTTATAAGAAACAATTTGTTGTTATGCTGA